CTATTTTGGAATTGGATGTCACTTCTGCTTTCAAACCTGTTTTAATCAGGGACCTCCACCAAACACTTGTCCATCATAGGTAACCATTAGCACATTTGATATAATGTTCACAGTGTTCAGCATCACAGCAACCATGAGTTACCTCTGTACAGCAAATGGACAGACCAGTGCTATATCACTTAGAAGAATATTTGACCAGAAACAAAACCAGGCCTGAGGGCTGCAGATTAAAATCACCCTCCTTTGGCTTGCTGGCGTAACTTTCTATCCACTAGGCCAACAGAGCTCTCTCTATGTTGTTGTTGTTAAGTGCCATCAAGTCGTAGATGAAATAGAAATTAAACACAGGTGGGTAAAACTTATAAAACCACCCATATGGAAACTAACTCTCTGCTAGAACAGGATTGAGTTATAAAAGAAACACAGATGAAAAAGTTCCTTGAAACAAATGAAAGTGAAAATACAACATACCAAAACTTAATTATTTTCATTTGTATGTGACTCTTTGTTTTTCCCATGCTGATTTTAGTATTTTTTTTTATCTTTTATCTTTTATTTTGAAGAATTTAACTATGATGTTTTTTGAAGTTTTCCTTTTTGAGACTAGTCTATTTGGTGTTTGCTTAGCTTCCAGAATGTGGATTTTTTCGTTCTTCAAAATACCTGGGAAATTTTCTTCTAGTACCACTTCCACAATTCTCTCAGTGATTTCTCTATCCCTCTCTCTCATATTCTGGAATTCCAATAATATTTCTGCTATCCCTTTTAATATCATCCCACATGATTCTAATACTTTCTTTAAGTCTCATCTCTGATTTTTCTTCTAGTATGTTTCCATTGAGGTTCTTGTCTTCTAGCTCACTGACTCTGCCCCATCTCTTTTGTTCTAATTTTTTTTCCTTCCAACATGTTGGACACTTCTGCCATTTTAGTCTTAATGTTCTAGATTGCATTTTTCATGCCTCTCTGTTATTTCTAGTACTGTGTTTGCAGTACCCTATCTTGTGATGATTTTTTTAAGTTCTTGTATCTCTTTATTTATAGTCTCAATTATTTCTTCCATTTTTTGCATTTTTTCCCATATTTTGTGCAAGTTCATCCTCATCAATATATTTCTTCTGGCTCTGTGTCTCTGGAACATTTACTCTCTTGTTGGTTTCCATTGTTCTTCCACCATTTGCACCTTCTTCCGTAGCTGTTCAAATAACTCTTCATGAGACTGAGTTAGGTGGGTCAGTTAGTGTAATGCTCTGCAGTCCCTCCCATGTTAGGTAGTAATTTACAAAATAATTGCTCCTATGTGATGCATAATGTTCCATTGTGTGACTGTACCATAATTTCTCAATCTATTTCATTGTGATTAGGTATTTGCGTTGTTTCCATGTTCTTGTGATGGTGAATAATGCTCCTATTACTCTGTGATTCAAGTCTCATTTTTTCAAGATATAGTTCAAGCAGTAGAATAGCTGGGTCATATGGAATTTCTGTGTTCAGCTTTTTGAGGAAATGCCAAACTGCCTTCCAGAGTGTTGTATTCTTTTACGGTTTTACCAACAATATATAAGAGTTCCTATTTCAGTACATCCTCTCCAATATTTATTACTTGCTGTCCTATTAAACTTTGCTACTGCTACTGGAGTAAGATGGTATCTCGTTGTGGTTTTGATTTGCATCTTTCTTATTGCCAGTGATTTGGAACATTTCTTCATGTGTCTGTTGGCCATCCATATATCCCCCTCTGTAAAAAGTCCTTCCATGTCTTTTGCCCATTTTATAAATGGATTATCAGACTTTTTCTTCTGGAGGCCCTGTGGGATTTTCTAAACTTTCATTATGGACCTTTGTTTGCGACAGTATTGCCTAAAGGTTGTTTCCAGTTGGTAGGTTTTCATTTCACCCCGTTGGAAAAAGTTTTTGATGAGCACAGAGATTTAATCTTTAGAAGGTCCTATTCATCAATTTTATCCTCTTCAAACTGTGTATTTCTGGTTGTATTTGGCAGTCCCTTTATACTATAGACTCGGCCTTCTAAACTTGGTCCCAGTTTGTCTCTTTTGAGCTTTATGGTTTTGGGCTTTATTCCAACATCTCTGATCCACCTTGAGTTGATTTTTGTGTATGATTGTGAGATATGGTTCCTGTTTCAGCTTTCTGCAGGTAGCAGTCCAGTTTTGCCAACAACATTTATTGAAGAGGTTATCATTTCCCCATTTGATAGATTTTATTTTCATTTCAAATATCAGTTGACCATAGGTAGATGGATCCATTTCTGGGTTTTCAATTCTGTTCCATTGGTCTTTGTGCCTGTCATTGTATTAGTGCCATGCTATTTTGGTTACTAAAGTTGTGTGGTAGGTTTTGCGGTCAGGGAGTACAATGCCTCTCACTTAATTTTGTTTTTCAGAAGTGCTTTGCTTATTTGAGATCTCTTTCCTCTCCAAATGAACTTGACAATTTCACTTTAGATTTCCTTGAAACATGTATTTGGTATCTGTATTGGGATTGGGTTGAACATGTTGATTGTTTTTGGTAGGATTCTCATTTTCACAATATTGAGTCTTCCTATCCATGAACAGGACACCTTTCCCCATTTCTTTAGGCCTTTTATTGTGTTCTGTAGATTACTTTGTATAGGTCTTTTCTTTGCTCTCTTGATGGTTTCCATTGCTTTTTTCATCATTTGTACCTTCTTTCATAGCTGTTCAAATAATTCTTCATCAATATATTTTTTTATCTGGTTTTCTACCTCTAGGTTATTTCCTTTATGTGTGGTTTTCATTGTTTCTTTCATCATTTATACTTTTATTCAGAGCTGTGCGAAGGTCTCCATATCAACATATCTCATCTGCCTTCTTGCTTCTGGGATATTCATTAGGTCTCTGATGTTCTCTCTCTCTCTCTCTCTCTCTCTCTCTCTCTCTCTCTCTCTTTTTTTCTGAGAAGGCTTAATTTGTTTTTTCCCCAGTGTTTGAAGTTGCCTGTTGATTTCTTGACATTATGTGAAGTTTTTCTTGGTAAGTGTTAGGTCATTTCTATTGTATCCATGAAAATTGTTGTTGGTTCTTATCTTTATAATGTTACTTGTTAGTTGCCAAGTTAAACTGTGGTAAGGTACTCAATCCACTGTAAGTTCTTTCTGGGAAAATTTATCTTTCTTTAAATCCTTGAGGTTTTCTCTCTTCTTCACTGCAGCCCCGTAGGAGTCTTGCTTGAAGTTGTCCCCTAATATCAACTATATAGGCCTCCTTCGTATATGAAGTGGTTGAGTGGTGTGAGACCAGGTTCTCTTCCCAAGCAGCTCTTCTGCGCCTTTTCTCCTGAAGCTTAATGTCTTTTTTTTGTCTCCCTGTGTGGCAGGAGATTAGATATCAGGGCTGCTAGGTCAAGCAGCTTGCATGCAGGGGGTCTCAAGCCAGTCTCCCTTCTCTCTTTCAGAGAGCCAACAACAATTCCTCTGCCTAAAGTTCTATGTAGTAAACTCTCTGGCCCTGTTTGTCCCCCTTCATGGCCCTGCAGCTGCAGAAGCAAGGACCCTTTGATGCAGGATGGAGGTACCTGAAACAACAGGATTGCCTGAGTCCTGTCTCCCCACAAGCAATGAAGAGTGCTCACTCTTGGCATAGAACGCCCACCTCTCCTGACCTTTTCTCCTGAAGCTTGATGTGTTTCCTTGTCTCTGGTGTGGTGGGAGGGAGATCGGACCCCTACCTGGCCCACTTGTATGCAGAGACTCCTCAGTCAGCCCTGTGCCACAGGGAGCTAAGAAAATTCTTCCCTGTGGGCAAAGTTAGAAACATTAAAGTCTCTTGTCCTGCTTGGTCCTTGGGATGGCCGCACAGTTGCACAGGCAAGGACCTTCTGACACAGGTTCCTACAACCCAAGGGATTCCTCCACAGCCAGTGGAGAGTGCTCACTCTCAGCACGGAGCCCCCATCTCTCCTGACGAATAATTTTCTTAAAATGCATTTTGTGTCAGTGTAAAGTTAGGAGTATAAATTCTGAATTTGTTTTAGTTTGTATATTTATAGTGACCAGATGCATAGATTGAAAAAGTCATTTTATGCCTAGAAATGGTAGGTTGCATGAGAGATGAGGGATCGTTTTAGGTTTTTCTCCAGTTTTAGCTATCATAATAGTTTTATCTAGGTAGAATAGAAATTTGATGGCATAGTGCCTTATGTTTTGCAGTGCTAACTGAAAGGGTCAGTAGTTTATCAGCTACTCCACAGGAGACAGCTGGACAGTCTCTTTATAGCATCAAAAACCTGATGGAGGAACACTGTGGGTAAGGTATGTTGGTGATTTTTTTTTAAGATTTGGTCAAAGATTATACTTATTAAAATTTTTTATTATTTTGTACTGTCATGTCAGAAACAACTTATAGCTGACTTTCTAGTGGGTTTTTCGAGGCTATAAACCACATTGCAGGAGTTTTCCCACCTTTCTTCTACTGAGTTGCTGTTGGATTTGAAATGTGTGCTTTGATTTGGCAGCATTTCTTCTAATATACATATTAATATGAATAAATCAATAGTAAATTGATTCTATCTATGGAAAGAAGATAAGAGAAAAAAAAGAAGATATATTTGGAATATTTTGTATTATTTGATGTGTTAGAAAGACTTTCCAAAAGTTAATGTTCCAGTGTCTTTGGTTTTTGTTTTCATTGTAGATCATTAACAATGTGTGTATGTGCACTTTTTAGTTTTTAAAGTTGTATTTGGATCAAAACAATTTTACTCTATTTGACACTGCATTGGAGAAATGGATCACAATGGAGTGGATTTCTCTGTCAGTTTTCTAGAAATATTTATTTAATTAAACAAAATATGCCTAACCTATTCATGGTTCTGTATTTTATTATCACTTTAAAAGTATAAGTTGAGATTTTGGAATATCTTGCAAATATTCTTTTTTAATAAAGAGATTTACATTTGCTGTGTGCTTTCTCTTATATGAAGAATGTATATAAACTTTTGGTAAATTTTTTTTTTTACAGTCAAAGGCTGTTGGTTTGTTAGATGTGGATGTGTATGGCCCTTCAATTCCAAAGATGATGAATCTGAAAGGAAATCCAGAATTATCCCAGAGTAAGTAAAGATAGATATTAAGGGAATAGTTTCCCTATTTGGTATTTACCTTATGTCAGACTTTGTGTTATCATTCATATATTGTATGCACTGCAATGTTGTGATTCAGAATCAGACTCTACAACCAGAAAGTCTAGGTTTGTCACTGATTAATCACTGTGTTACTTTGACTAAATTACTTAACATCTTTGTACAATTCCTGCTCAAGTAGAGCTAACAGTTTTACTTATCAGATAGATTAGTGTGAGAATTACTATGTCTTGCATTTACCACAGTGCCTGGCACACAGTAAGTGATAAAAAATGTTATATAAGTGTCATTGCCTCTTTATAGTAAATGTGTGGATGTTTGGTAATGCTTGAATAGAAAATATACTTTGTGTTGTTGTGTTATGTGTTATGAGTCACAACTAACTTATAGCTGATTCTCCAAAAGATTTTTAGAGTCTGTAATTGCATGGAAGGAGATTGCCCATCTTTTTTTGCAGAGCAATTGATGGATTTGAACCACATGCCTGTGCCTCAGTGCTGCTCCTTACTCCTAGGCCACCAGACACTTTGTGTTATAAAGGATGACAATTATTTTCTCTGATATTCTCTTAAAATGCTTTTAAAAAGCAACCTGAAGCTATTTGGCTATCACCAATGGGAAGGAATTATTTCTTTGAATGACTCTTTAATATTTATTGCTCTTGTAATTTTTTTACAAACCATTATATATAGAGGAATAACAATAAGGAAATACTATGCTAAAAAAGCTAAAGAATTGGTAAAACTGGTAGTTTTACTTGAAAAGTAGTTTTCAGTAAATTTGGTTTTTGAAAATTGATTTCTAATTATAATAGGAGTAAACACTTGAGTAATTTATTTTTGTTTCTTGTTGGGATTTTTAATTTTCTGAGTCTAGGACACAAATTAATGTATCGACTGATGTATTTTAAAAAATATTTACATTATACAAATATTCTTTATTGCTTTTTTTTTTTTTTTTTTAGTTTGGGATTTGTTACTTGGCTCCCTGTAGGACAGTAAAGATTCTTCTTAATATTTTAAGAAGAACTTGAAATTTAATGATGTTAAAATTAATCCTAGAAGTCTTATAAACATCTGCTTAGGTTTTTTTTTTATTCCATACATATTCGTTTAAAAATATGTGGCTTGAGTCAAGATGTCAAACTTTCATAAAAAGGAAGAAATGAACAAATTTTAAAACTTTTTTCTTTTCCATTGAGTTGGAACCCTCCAAGTGGGTTTCAGAGATTGAAAGGTACCTTGAAGGAGATTACTTTATCTTTCTCCCATGGAGCAGCTAGTGGATGTGAGCCATATACCTTTGGTTTGTAGAACAACTTCTCACCCACTAGGCTTCAATGATAGACTTTCAACAATAGACTCATTATTTTTGTCTCCTGATTAAATATATGTGACAATTAGTGCTGCATATCACATGTGAATGAAGGCAAAATGGAGCCCTCTTTGTCTGTTTTTTCATAAGCAGTTCAGTTCAGTCTGTGCTAACATAAATACTTAAGGTGAACTTTAATTTCTTTCTTCTTGTTTTACTATAGCTGAAATATTAAATTTGATGTTAACAAATTGGCTGCCGTTAACTCTTATAAAGATGAGATTCTGGAAATCTTTGAAAGCCTGAAAAGAGTACTTTTTGTCCATCAAAAAATGCTCGTTAAGACATTGACTTGAAAGACGGTGAATTCTTTAAAGCCTAACTTATAAATTATTTTTTGAATGCTAGAAAAACTTGCCACCATTAGGCTAATTGGCATCATTTTGACATTTCTACATTATTATCATGTTAACTTAGGCTGCTGTACTTTATATTACAGGAAGCAAAATGCACTATGAAATAATTTAATTAACAATAAAGAAAAGCTGTGAAAAATGAATTTTTAGCTATTAAAGTTTTGGGGAGATAGATCAACAAACCGAGTTCTATCTAGCTTTAAAGGTGTTTGTAGGTTGAGAAGAATATTTGTTATTCTTGACCTTTGTTTTCACTCTAAGCTAAAACCATTAGGTAGTCTGATTTCAGGATTATCCTTTTTTTCTTTATCATTTAAACAAACTTATATGTAGTTTTAGGGAGCTCTGCTGGCTTAATGGTAATTAGTTTCACTGACAACCTAAAGGCATGTCAGTTAGATCTGTCGGCTGCTCTGAGGATGAAAGATGTTCAATCTCCTCTAATATGATTTCCAGCCTCTGAAAACCCACTGGAGGGTCACCTGTGAGTTGGTTCCAACTAGACAGTACATAACAACAACAGTGTCCACATACTGTTGTTGTTAGGTGCCATCGAGTTGAGTACTACCCTGTGAACAAAAGATCAGAACCTGGTTCTATCCTGTGCCATCCTTACACTTCCTGATGCACAAGAGACCACTGCGACAGTCATCATGTCAGTCCACCTGGTTGAGGGTCTTCTTCTCCTTCACTGACCCTCCACCCTTCCTAGCATCATGTCCTTCTCCAAGGAATAGTAGCCCATCCTAGCATCATTCCCAAAGTATGTGAGGCAAAGCCTCATTATTCTTACCCCCAAAGAACACTCCAGTTGCACCTTCTCGAAGACATATCTGTTTGTTCTTTTGGCCATCCCTGGGATGTTCGGTGCTTTTCTCCAGCACCACAGCTCAAAGGCGTCAGTTCTTCTGTTATCCTTATTCATTGTCTAGCTCTCAGATGCATAGCAAGTAATCAGAAAGATGATGGCCTGAATCAGACATTCCTTAGTCATCAAACTCACAGCATTACTTCTCATAATTTGGAGAAGTTACCTAACTGCAGATTTTCCTAGTACAATGCATCTCATTTCCTGACTGCCAGTACCAAGGTGTTAATTGTGGATCTAAGCAATATGAAGCTGTTGGCAGTTTCAATCTCCTGTTCATTCATCATGATGTTGTCTATTGGTCCAGTGGTGAGAATCTTAGTTTTGTTGTCATTGAGATGCATTTCATATTGAAGGCTTCATTCCTTGATCTTCTGCAACAAGTGTCTCAAGTCCTCCTCACTTTCAGCAAGCAAAGTTGTGTCATCTGCACAACACAGATTTTTATGAGTCTTCTCTAGGGCTTATGCCACACTCTTCTTTATTGAGTCTAGCTTCTTGGATAATTTGCTGTTAGAAATAGGTTGAGACGTTGAACACCAGTGACTGAAGATCAGGTGAGTTGTGGGATGATATCAAAGATGTTCTCCATGAAGAGAGCAAAAGGTCATTCAGAAACAGAGGAGAAAGAAAAGATCAAAATGGATGTCAGAAGAGACACTAAAAATTGTACTGGAGTGTTGAGAAGCCAAAACAAAAGAAAAGCATGCTGAAGTTAAAAGAGCTGAACAGAAGATTTCAAAAGTCAACTTATGAGTACAAAGCAAAGGGCAGGGAGCTGAAATTGGAGAATAAAAAGGGAATAACTCTTTCTCAAGCTGAGAGAATGGAAAAAAAAATTTAAACCGTTGTTTCAGTGGGCATATATTGAATGCCCACTGTGGGCATTCAAGATGCTGTGGGCAATATATTGAATGACTCAGAAAGTATCAAAAAACGATGATGGAGGAAATACACAGAATCACTGTACCAGAAAGAACTGACACTGAGAAATTCCAGGATGTATCATGTGAACAAGGGAGCTCTGGTAGGCTAGTGGCAAGAAGCTGCATTGCAATCCCACAGGTTTGAATCCTACCAGCTGCTCCATGGGAGAAGGATGGACAGTCTCCTCATGTGCAGTTAACTGCCTTTCAAACTCGACGAAGGGTCAGCTATAGGTTGGTTTTGACTTGACAGTGCACAACAACAACAACTGAACAGGAGCCAATGGTAATGAAGGAGGAAGTGGGAGCTGCATTGAAGGCATTGTTCAAAAATAAGGCCCCAGGAATCAATGGGATACCAATTGACTTGTTTCAATTAACAGATTCAACCTTGGATATGCTCACCAGTTTGTGCCAGGAAATTTGGAGGATGGCTATCTAGCCAATGGATTGGAAGAGGTACATATCTATTCCTATTCCCAAGAAAGGTGAATGTGGAAACTGTTGAATAATATAAAAATAGTATAGCTTTAGTAAATTTTTAAATTATTATAATTCTCCATGTTAGAGTCAAGCTCTGGTGGCTTACTGATCTAGAATTGAGTTTCCACTCAAAATGCTTGAAGCTTGACTCTGCCAGGTGCTCCATGGGAGAAAGATTGGCAGTCTCCTCCTGTATCATTTACTCCCTCTGTGCAAAAAACCCTCACTTGAGGATCAACTATGAGTTGCTTCTAAATTGATAGCACATAGTAACAACAAGGTCACCTATCAGTTGGTTCTGAATTAATAGTACATAGTAACAACAGTAGCATAGAAATTTTGTATTAAAACAATTTAATCACATTTTTTTATTTCTTAAAATTATAATAGTAATTATTGTCTTAAAACTATTTATGAATTGTTGAATGGAAAACTAATTTGCTTTGTAAATGTTCACCTAATTCAGAGTAAGTTTAAAAAAATGCTATTTGATGACTCAAGCCAACTTTGATTTATAGTAATGTTTTGAACAATAAATTGACACATTCTTCTATCCTGTGCCATCCCCATAATCTCCATTATACGCAAGCCCAGTGTTGCAGTCACTGTGTCAGACCATTTAATAGAGGGATTTACTCTTCTTCTTTTTCACTGAACTTTTAGTTTTCACAGTATCATGTCTTTTCCCAAGGACTGACCTCTCTTGACAGCATTCCCAAAGTATGCGAGTAGTATCACCATCTTTGCCTTCAAAGAACACCCTGATTTCACATTCTCCAAGACAGAGTTATTTGTTCTTTTGTCTGCCTGTGGCATATTCAGTACTTTTTGCTATCATCACAATTCTGATGGATTATTTCTTATTTGGTCTTTTTAATTCATTATCTAATTCAATTTTTAGATGTATAGGAAGCAATTGAAAATATGGCTTAGGTCATGTACACCTTAGTTTTTAAACGGAAA